GTCATGGGATTAACTACTCATTCTTAAACATACTATTGGAGGACAAAAACATTGTACACTGTACAAATGTTATTTTTATCCCATTAAAAGTGAAGAATTGTCTCCACTGCCTAAATGGTTTTTAAAAAGCTGCAACACTTCTGTCTGATTGGGGTTTCAATGATTACCCTCTAGAGGAGTCAAAAACTGCCCTCTATACCCAACCTGCTATTTACACCCTTGCTACTAAAAACGTACACAAAAAAGTGTATTAAAACTACATAATTTTTAGTTAGCAGCCCTTTAAATGGCTACCAGATAAATGAACTGAAAAAGTCAGACTAGGGAAACCACAACGTCCATTCCTGTGTGGGGATGCATGGAGTTTCAATCAGAGAAGAAAAAAAAAGAAAGTCTGAAAGTAAACAGCTCCTGACATGCTCTCATAAGTACTCTGTGGCACAAATGCAACCAATATAAAACATTTATTTGTATAAATATTAAATATAAAAAGGATATAAAGTAACAATGGTGCAGTTTAAGCTGGTGCCATGACTGCAGGCACAGGTGTTCTGGTTTAGGGTGTCTCCTTTTTACTGCAGCATCCTATAGAGTCACCCTTTCATGCAGGTAATAGAATTGCGTCTCCCTACACTGTTTGAACCAATAGAAAAACACAGCCTGAAGAGAAGGATGGCAAGGCACTAACCCGCTCCTCCACTCTCCAAGCTAACAGACTGTACTGTCCACTGTTAACTAATTCCTGTGAAGGACCTGAAGTTCAGGGAAGCATCACTGAGAGAGCAGGAAACAGCAGCACTGATACTTGTAAACTATAAGTTGTGGAGTAAGGATTTAAAAACAATAATTTACTGGGAAATATTTATTTTATTGTGTTCAATGTGTTAAGCAAAAGACCGGAGAGTTTAATACTACTTTCATGGGAATAATATATTTTTAAAAGATGTAAAAGTAAATCTTACTTCTTCAATGTTGGCCTCGATCTCATCATCAACAACCCTAAAAGCATTAAAATTGATCAGTCAGGAGAGGTTAATTAAACAATGAGTAAAACTATGAGCATAAAGGAGATTGATTTCTTGGGTGTCAAAGGCTTGCTGGTGACCACACTGAAGATTTCACACTCTTTATTCAAAATTTCTATAGAAAATGCTTTGCCTTACAATCATTCAAAATAATTACCCATTAAAACCCTATCACCAGGACAGGAAGTGAGGGAATGAGACAGACAGGAAGTGAGGGAATGAGACAGACAGCAAGACAAACATGTTTTTAAGTAACCTCTGTAAAATATGTATTGCTGTGTGTGCTGTCCATAGGGAGGCATCCACTTTTCTCCTGTCCCATGTGTGGTAACGTGTGGCAGGCAGCAGTCAGTATAGGAAGTGGAATCGTCCCAGAAGGCAATACACATCTGAAAGAGATGCTATTCTATCCCCTTTCTATCCAAAATTTTACAAATAATGCTGGGATTCTAAATTTTTCCTCTGTTTTCAAACATTTCATCACCCAAAAGTAATACATTTTCTATCTACATAGTAAAAGGTTTTAAAGCATAACTGAACATAAGAAAACAAATGTATTGTATTGTAGCTTATGAGTCCTTATATGAGGTGATTGCATTAGTTTTTATTTTCCAGGCTAAAAAAATATATTCAGCAAGTACAGAAAATACCTGCTGACCTTGCCAGAATGAAGTGTCTTTGTCATTTCTTATGAGCTGAACTGAAAGCTCAATCAATGCAATTTTCCTTCTACAAAATAGTAATTCCCCCACCTCTGTGTTGCAGGGAAGAGGAGAGGAAGGCATGCTTTGAAGTTTAGCCTAAGTGACAACCATGGCTGACGCCATAGAAATAGTACAGTATTTGAACGAACCTAGCCACCCTAGGACAGTAAGTGTATTACATGATCAGACGGTGAAAAATAAAAAAACTATGCTGAAAAAAGGAAAGCTAATGTAGGAGAGAGAGGGGGGGGAGGGGAGAGAGAGAGGTGGGGGAGAGAGGGGACAGAGGGAGGGGGGGGAGACAGAGAGAGGGGGGGGGAGACAGAGAGAGGGGGGGGGGGGGAGACAGAGAGAGAGAGGGGGGGGGGGGGGGGATGGGGGAGAGAGGGGGAGAGAGAGAGAGAGAGGGGGGGGGAGATAGTTAGGGGAGAGAGAGGAGGGGGGGTAGAGAGAGGAGATAGGGAGAGAGGAGATAGGTAGAGCGAGAGAGAGAGAGGGGGGGGGAGAGAGAGAGGAGATAGTTGGGGGAGGAGAGGGGAAAATAGGGAGAGAGAGGGGAAAGAGAGAGAGAGAGGGGGGGGGGTGAGATAGGAGAGAGGGGGGGAATAGGGGGGTGGGGAGAGAGAGGAGATAGTTATGGAGAGAGGGGGGGAGAGAGAGAGAGAGAGAGGAGGTAGGGAGAGAGAGGAGAGAGAGATGAGAGAGGGGGGAGAGAGGGGGATATAGAGAGGAGATAGTTAGAGAGAGAGGGGGGGGGGGGGGGAGATAGGGAGAGGAGATAGTTTAGGGAGAGAAGGGGAGAGAGAGAAGAAGAGAGAGAGGGAGATAGAGAGGGAAATAGGGAGAGCGAGGGGAGATAGAGAGAGAAAGGAGGGAGAGAGAGAGGGGGAGAGGGAGGGAGAGGAGATAGTTAGGGGGGGAGAGACACAGAGAGAGGGGGGGGGAGATAGGGAGAGAGAGGGGAGATAGGGAGAGAGAGGGAGAGGGGGGAGAGAGAGGGGAGATAGTTAGGGAAAGAGGAAGGGAGATAGAGGAGATAGTTAGGGAGAGAGGAGAAAGAGAGAGAGAGAAGCCTGTATAAGCCGTGTACCGGGGTGGGCTCCCCAGGATACAGTGAAGTCACAAACGAGGAAAGCAACCCCAACACCAGCTTTTGTCACAGCAGACTTTTACTTAGATGTGGCAAATAAACAAAACCACAAATGCTGGAATATACAATAAATTTACATACACCCAGCCTAAAGGCTGAGACCCTTGTGCTGAACAGCACGGCGCCTTCTGACGATGAAGGTAGAAAGTGAAGTAATTTACCTACTGGCGGGCACAACTAAGCTGCCACACCTTACCTGTTATTACCCTAAAAGAACAAGAATCAGTGTATGGGTGTATGGTATGGGCTAGCCTGCGGTGCAGCACATGTGCAGCTTACAATCTTACACAAATCTGCAGTATTCCCTCTCCCATAACTGGCCTGTAGCACATGCCTGAGTATTCCTTCTGAGCAAAATGCCAGTCTGGCTTGAGTTTGTAGAATTTTATCAGCTCTCCAATGTGAAATGTCACTTTAAGTTGTGGAGTCCTTCCAATGATCAGTAACAACACTTGTGGCCTGACACAAACAGAGACCCTAACTAACTAACTATAGGCCTGTCTCAGTCCTATAGGTGCCAACACTGAAATGAGGTGCGTGCACGATCTTACCGACCCGGGTCTGCTTTGCATCCGCTGGTGACTCTGAACAGAACACCTGTCTCTCCACTAAGCATGCAATATCACAGTATATAGATTGCTTAGTTCCTCAGCTTCCCCATCAGCTTCCTGGAAGCAATCTTCCTTTCTTTGAACAGGGTTAGCATCTTGAACACCATCAGCTTCACTCAACTGAATTTCTGATTACGGAGAGTTGTCCTCACATCTGGATGGCATCGGATTCTCAGATCACACAGCCCCCCTTCTCTCTCTCAAGCATGGCTGCTCTCCTCTCCTTTTTCTGTTCACTCTCCAAGTGTAAAACCCCACCTCTTCATGAATATAGAAATCTCTATGCAGTCTGAGGCTGTGTTACAAAAAACAGTGACATCTTGTGGCTAAACTGTAGAATGTCAGTCAGAACGTTTTGAAATTACTTCAATCAGTGTTCAAACAATGAGAGCTGTTTCCCCATCTCACACCTGTAGTGCTTCTTACTACAACTGGTGGCTCTGGTCTTCACTCTACTAAAAGCTACACTGCTCAAAACATTTTTAGAATCTGATACTATTGGGTCCCTATGGCAATTTAACTGCTGGCAGGTGGAACTACAGCGCCCAGCAGCTAGGGACTGCCGCTGCAGCTACATCCATTATACAGAAATCTTATTCTTGGCCTTGGATTATCTAGTAGGAAAAAAGGAGATGAAGCCTAAGAAAAAGCTCCATGGTGCAAACTGGGGATGGGGGGGAAGGGAGATCACTGGAAACTCTAATAATCAACCTTTCTTATTCGGTTAATTTTGGTCTGTTAAACATGACATTGAATGCGTATATTATATGTGTTATAAGTGCCAAAAAATACCGGTTGATTCTGCCAGAAATTTTGTGAGCTGACCAATACAGCTGACCAAACCAGATTTGTGCAGACATACTTTTTAAAACCTGAACAGATCCAAAGCTGAAAATCATTGTATTCCCCTCACCCGTTCCTCCACACACACCTGATCTACAGCCCCATCCTCTTCAATACCAGTGCTTACAAAATGTAGAAACATGCGGAATGCCAGCAAGTGTACAATTAAATCATCTAAAACAGGCAGAACGTCTTTTATGTGATCGGTTTCTCTTCTCATCTAATAGGATGTGACAATCAAAATAGATGCTATGGCCGTGTATAGTGACAGGTCCTCAGCTCTTTTGATTAATGTCTGAATTTGGTTCTTCTGCAAGGCAGTCGAACCCAGGGGCGGACTGACCATTGGGCCGGGGTCAATAGGGGGTCCCATGATATGCCCCTGGTACCTTTCATAGGCTTTTTTGGGTGTGGTTTGAGTGTGGGCGAGGACACAGGGGTCCCATGATCCCCTATTGCCTGGGGGCCCCATGAGTTGCCAGTCTGCCCCTGGTCAAACCTTGACCAAAAGCCAGGTCACTATCCTGGGATACTTACTGTGACTCTGTACTCTTCTCTGAGAAAACCCGCACACAGAAGTCTCCCACTTTATTGGGCTCGAAGGTCGATGGTACAATAACATATTCCCCAGCTGGCAGCCGGAATCTGTTCAGAACCTCTCGAAGATTTATGAAGGTGTCAGAGCGGTCTTTGGCTTTGTTCCGCAGGAGAAGAAATCTCTACTCAGGTGAACATTGGTCTGTCCTCGCATCTGCAACAAAAGCAGAGCATCCACCAAAAAATGTAGCTCAGTTTATAGTTTAAAGTGCATCTAAAGCCAAAACTTTTTTTTTTTTTTTTTTTAAACCACTTCCAGTCCGGACACTTTCCCCCCTTCCTGTCCAGGCCAATTTTCAGCTTTCAGTGCTGTCACACTTCGAATGACAATTGCGCGGTCATGCACCACTGTACCCATATGAATTTTTTAGCATTTTTATGAGACAGATAAAACTTTATTTTGGTGGTATTTATTCACCACAGGGATTTTTATTATTTTTGCTATATAAATGACAAAGCCAAAACATTTTGAAAAGAAGTGTTTTTCTTATAAAATTTTCCAAATAAATATTCTTTCTTCATAAATCTTGGCCAAAATGTATTCGGGTTTATCTTTTTAGTAAAAAAAAAATAACCCAAATAAGTTTATAACCAAAAATTATAATTTTTCAAAAATGTTTTTTACATTTTTATTTTATTTTTTTTATTTTAGATTATTATTCATATTTTTTTTTAACATACTGTCACCCTAGCTATTTGTGGGGAGTGTTGAAGATTTTTTTTTTTTTTTTTTTACACTGATTGCTTTTACACCCATAAAGGCTGTAAAAGCAATCAGAAATTGTGAAATTTTAGCATTGATATGGAAAATATGACTGATCATACCAAAAAAATGCTCCTTTATTAAAGGTAATTGCAATTGGTAATTGTAATTGGTAATTGAAGGTAATTGCAGTAAAAGCTTCTGTCTGGCACCTGGACCAAACAGCTCATTTATGTTCAAATATCACGTATTGTACTCCTTAAAAACAAACACACCACATTTTTCCAGAGCAGCCTGTATTTCTTTTGAGGTTGCCTGTGGGTTTTTCTTTGAATCCTGGACAATTCTTCTGTCAGTTGTGGCTGCAATCTTTCTTGGGCTACCTGACCTTGGCTTGGTATCAATAGATCCCGAACTTTCCACTTCTTAATAGGTGATTTAACAGTACTGATTGACATATTCAAGGCTTTGGACATCTTTTTATGTCCTTTTCCATCTTTATAAAGTTCCATTACCTTGTTACGCAGGACATTTGACAGTTCTTTTCTGATTCCCATGGTTCAGTATCTAACCTAGTCAGTGCTTGCATGTAAGAGCTAACAAACTCATTGACTATTTATACACTGACACTAATTGCAAATTAAAAAGCCACAGATGTGGGACATTAACCTTTAATTGACATTATATCCCGTGTGTGCCACCTTGTGTGTCTGTACCAAGGCCAAACATTCCAGGGTATGTAAACTTTTAATCCTGGCCATTTGGGTGATTTCTGTTATCAATATGATTTAAAAAGGAGCCAAACAACTATTTGATAATAAATGGCTTCATATGATCATCATCCTTCAATTAAAGAGCATTTTTAGCATGATCAGTCATATATCAATGTCAATCAATTTTAATGCCAAAATTTCACAAACTCTTGAGCACAACTGTACACTCAGACTTTTACCAGAGTTTAGCAGTAGCAGAGTTTATGGGCAGTTAAACGTTCCTCTCCTGGACGTTGAAGAATCGTATTCAGGAGAGGAACATTTTGGCCAAAAAAACATGCCAAAAACACGTGTAAACCCAGCTAAAAGCAGCTAAACGCGTCTAAGCGCGGCTAAACACTATGTACCACGTTTACACGCTTTTAGTGTTTTTCTGCTGCCTTATTGGTTTTGCAGGGACTGGGCAAATTTCGATCAATTTGTGGCCATCCCCACTGCAGCTGCTGTCAGAGTACAATGTCTTGGCTGGAGGGTTTCTTCCATCCACCTCCTTTGTGTGTATGGAGGAATCGGTTAGTTAGTTTTTTTTTTTTTCATTCAGTCCAGATTCTGGGCTACTAGAAATTGACAACTTACCACTTACCACCAGGACTAAATAGAGGAAGTAATGTATGCAGTACTTCATGGCTGCAAGCTGTCATACATTTACACTCACCTTCTAAAATAATAAATGTGACATTGATCTAGGCAAAAAATGATAAAATATCAGCATACCTGGGGTGGGACCTGAAATCAGAAATGATAAAGTGGAATTAATATATGTCAGGAACAATGTATAAACACAAAATCTATATAATAATGTATGGCAGAGTAATCTTACATCACTTAAAAGCTGAACACAAACAACTAAGGTTGGCCATACACTATACAATTTTCCTGAGATTTTTGCTTTGGATTTACCAAAAACCATATAATATGAGGTCAAACCTAAATAACACTTTCAATTGTATCTAATTAGGCAGGCCCTTGCACTACACAGTGAAAGGTAAATCTAAAGGAAAATTGGGCAGAAATCTGTAAGAAAATTGTATAGTGTATGGCCAAAATAATACAAATTAATTACAAATGAGTGAGCTACTAAAATTGCCATTTCTGTCCATCCAGTCCAGAGCTTTGCACAGCTGTGCCATACAGCACAGCTATCTGGCAGGGCAGGAGACCTGATTTTTCTTTGCTGTAGATCAGTAAAACCTAAAGGTCTTGTCTGTGACTAGGCAGTGAAAGGAGAAGCAGGACACTCATGAGCCCATCTCTCTGTCGCTCTGCTCTCTCCTTCTAACAGCATGCTCCTTATTAGCACATGAGCACTGCAGTACAACTATCATGCTCTTTATGCGTATGTATATATTAATGAATACAGGGCTGCATTAATTAGTGTCTTTAAAATCTGCATGGAATTCTGAGTTAACCATAAGACTAGTATGTTCCTTCAGATTCTGTCCTATTTTCACTTATCCAGACTGCAATGTTGTGTCAGCCTAAAACAAACGTGGATCTGGCTGTAGGATTTATGTATTAAACTGCTCAACAGGTAAAATGTGAAGCAGGGATGCTAGTAGCACTTGCAATCTCCCAACTCCAGAACATGTGTGACCTTATGCTTTTAGAACACGCTGCCTCAATGTTCCTAAGAGTGCATAACAATAAATAACCAAGCACAACGGACGCATACATTTTTCAACAACAATTTTCTGCCATTTGACGCTGATATGCACATTCAGGGGCTGGGAGACAACAAGCCAAGGCAAGAAAGCACAAGTTATCAGCATGAGGTCATGCAGTTGAGCAATTCACATACGTTCAGCTCTTAGCTGACCTATCACCTATCACTTTAATATACAAAAATATTACAGAATGGGACTTGTGAGGCACAGCATTTTACATTAACACACATTTTTTTAATTATATTAAATTCTATTTAAAATATTACAAAGAGCATGGCCATTACATATAAAATATTACAACAATCAAATACACTACAGATCTGTATTTGGGTGTTGTAAAATTTTATATGCAATGGTGATGCTCTTTGTAATATTTTAAATAGAATTTATTATAATTAAAAAAATGTGTGTTAATGTACAATGTTGTGCCTCAAAAGTCCCATTCCATAACATTTTGTATTTTGATATGTTCAAAGGTTTGCAGAACTTTTTTCCTGACCCTTCACTTTGTCAGGCTCACTCGTGAGTTAAACTACATAAAGTGACAAGGATACATTTTCTAAAGGTAATCCTGGACATATATTGGCTGAACCCACCAGTGTCTAAATAAAAGTGAATATCTTTGATGTACTGACCCTTTAAAGGATAAGTTCACCTTTCATAACATGTTACACCCATATTCAGGGTGTAACATGTTATGATCAGACCGGCCACCGTTCCTCCCCGCTCCGTGCTGTGACAGCTATCGGGGGATCTCCTCCCCACTCTCTAGCCGTCAAATTGCCATGGCCGTTTTTGTATAAAGGTGAACTTGTCCTTTAAGAGGTACTGGTGTAAAAATAAATAAGAGCATCCCACCTCATAGATGGCGAAGCCAATAGTGTGCATGTCCTCCCCTATCTTCCGAGCTTTCCTGCGGTTCTTCTGTATCAGACCCACAATAAACGTGCAGCCTTCTTCTCCATCACCTGGATCATCATCCTCCTCATTCAGCTTTAGCAAATACTGCGGGTTCATCCAGAAAGTGTCTGTAGAAAGGAACATCACTTTGCTATGTACTGTGCTACTGCGATAATGCTACAGAGTATATTTAAATTGAGTCTGTGATCGGGCCATCAACAATTAAATATTTATATATGCATAACAAGTAGTAAATGAGCTTTAAACCAGCCCTCACTAACCTCTGTAGCTGCAGGCACTGTGGGACAGTTCATTATCAATGTTCACATCAGAAACACTGAAGCTGTTGCAAGTTATTCTCTCAGTAATTCTGCTCACAGTAATAACTGAGCAGGTCAGTTCCCCCTCCCAACAGTGACTCAGCTGCTTCATTTTAATTAAAGTGGCATTGATTCGTGGATGTATTGGATCTTTGTAAATACTAAAGAGAATATAGTGAGCACTGGCAGAGCTGGATATGGAATTGGTACAATACGTGAGCGCACAATCCCTGCCCAACAACTCATATGTGTGGAGGAAATATTGCAACTGTAACATTCACTAATCGGCAGCCAGAGTATTGAAGAAGCTATGACTTCTTTTCTCCCTGTGACCCACCTGGGTAATTCCGGCACCCCCCAGCAGTGGATCCTCGCCTCCACGTCCCATCCATCTTCACCAGACTCCACTTCTTGTATTTGTCTGAGCTCAGGGTGTCAGGGGTGAGGTTACAGATCTCCAGCCTGGAGTAGTGTCTCAGGAAATCATTGTATGACATCCTAGGGGGAGGGCAGAAAATATATCATATGCACTGACATATTCAGAAATCTTTACAGAGAACATACTGGAGATACATTCTATTATCCCTGCCCCAGAGGAGCTTACAATCTAACTTCCTGTCATAATTATACCAGATATTTTATATATTAAGGTCAGTTTGTTTAAGAGTCAGCCCAGGCATTGTTCAGATTTACTCCCATCTCTCTACTTTCCCCTATCAGAGCATGATCCAGAATTATTTATTTTGCCTAATTAGTTCCTATAGGTTGACAGAGCTTTTATTACTCCCTGTGACATCATCATCAGGTGTGTAAAAGTCTTCCAAGGGCAGTTTCTGGAAGGCCAGTTCCTATTGATGTAGGAATGTCCCCAGAACTACATCCCCCCAAGAGCCCTTCTCCTGCAAACAGCATGTTGGCAGACTATTGGGAACCAAGGCAGCCACGTTTTGCTGGAAAATAAACCAATGTATGAATGTATAAAGTTTGAAAGGGAAAAGGGGGAAAAGTTGGGTGTTGTAGTCCAGCTGGCAGGACTGACAACTGTTGGGATTTCATTGCAGCAGAGACATTGTGTTGTGTGCTCAGTGCTAGAAACCCACTGGATTTCTGGCAGATCAACAGGTATTTTTCTGTACTTTCAGGGTTTTTAAAGGAATAAACATGGGGAAATGTAATACAGAGATGTACTGAATGTTTTTTTTTTTTATATTTTTCCCTGACATATTGTTTAGGTGAAGGTGTATAAATGGTCTGTATCCATGGCAACCTCCAGCCACCCAGCAGAGTACAGACCATCCTCAGGAATGAATGGGGCTGTGGACCCAACTGGGGTGTTTTTTTATTTAAAGGTTGTATGCCATGGCTGCACTATTGAAAGGACAACGTCATTATGGGGTCTATGTATAAAACACTTTGCTGTACCAATATGTCAATCATTTGCATGGGTTCCATGAATCTTCACTGTCATTTTCCTAATAGGTTTATTTGCTAGAATTGTCAGTGCAATCTGGTGGCAATTAAGAAGTATTGTTTCCTGAAATACATCAATCTGGAAAATACCACATTATTGCCTGTAGATGGCAATGACATTCCTAGGAAATAGGCCTATTAGGAAAATTACAGTGAAGATTCATGGAGTCTGTGCAATTGATTGACTTATCTGCACAGTGAACGTTTTAATATATAGCCTTTAAAAACAAGTTGTCCTTTAAAACTGAGCTCTCATCAGATAAAAAAAATACATACACTTGGGTTGAGAGTGTAATGGCAGGAGGAAACCCACACTAAAGGAGAGACTCCATGCACAAAAAGTCCCGGTGAGAAATGAATGCAGGACCTCAGATGGAGAGACTGCTACACCCAACTGTATATTGAATGATTCTATGAATTCTTCACATTCCAGCTGACTCATCTGTGCTACTTTCTAGAAGAGGACGCTGCATTAGATCAGGTCATATGAGTAATGCAGACATAGTTTCCTTCCTGAGCTCCTGAAGAACAGTCATATTTGTTTTTTTTACACAGGCAATACCTTCCTGTACTATTCCACAAATCCCACTATTTATTTATTTATTTATTACAGGTACTTATGTAGTGCCGTCAATTTACACAGCACTTTACATATATATTGTACATTCACATCAGTTCCTAACCCTCAAGGGACGTCCAACTAAGCACCAGGTATCAAAGTATCAGATGGAAAGGCCATTTGTGATATTCTTTAGCAATCAACTCAAGACATCAAGGTGACAACTGTCACTTATCAAAGTGAGGGCAAACAATGGCCCATGTTGCCTATAGCAACCAGACTCTCCACTGCTGTAATGATTGACCATGGGCAACACCCCACATCCTACCAACACAAACATGTAAACTCTAAATTCTGAACTGTTGCTATAGACACTTTATTGGGAATTAATCCTGCAAGTGGTCATCATCCCAGCAAAAAATGCCAAACCATAGGAAACGTATATAAAAAAACCATAGATATATAGCAAAAAATGGCAAGCCGTAGGAAATGTATAAAAAAAACTATATATATATATATACACACATACACACATATATATATATATACATACATACAGTATATACACTATATATATATATATATGTCTGGGTTAAAGTATCCTCAATATTATTATTACTATTATACAGGATTTATATAGCGTCAACAGTTTGCGCAGCTCTTTACAAAATGAAGGTAGACATTACAGTTACAATAAAATTTGGTACAAGAGGAAACAGAGGGCAATGTTACATTTTTCTGTTGTCCTGTAGAAGTATATAAGAGTATTGTGCAGAGTCTGAAATCTGTCCCTGCCTCATATACCCTGTAATCAGTTGGTGTTTTTTTGTTGTATTTTTGGCTTTCTTGGAAAAATTGGAAAGTAGTTACCAATATTGACCAGCAGAGAGCGCAGTTTTCCACCCACTATCCTGCCAGAAATAATAGGGGATCTATTTCCTCCTGTCCCTGGGAAGTGGAGTGATTCATGGATGTCTCTTCTGTTATATTCATGGAAAAGAAGGCTCAAGGCTTACTCAGTATAGAATAGCAAGCACAAAATACATGGCAATCAGATTTTACTTTAGAGTGAATGCTCTCAGATGCATCCATCTTGCATTTTGGATGCTCCATAGTTTTTTCTGTCCTCCTTAAGCTGTTCTTGTATTGCCATTGACTTTTAAGGGGAAAAATACCCATGTACACAAGCTACATGTTTATACTGACTGCAAGGGCTTACTGTATTTATCTATAACAAATAAGTTCTTTGTATTGTATAAAAATTCCTAACAATAAACTCTCCTCTATCCTTGTTAATCAATCAAAATTCATCTTTCAGGTTTACAGTACCTGAAAATAAAGAATAAGGGTGCATTCACACGGGTGATTAGCACACAATGCAAATTCCAGCAGCAAGAAATCTGCAGATTCCAGCAGCTGGAATGACAAGTGTGGGCTCAGCCTATACAATGCAACGAGAGGCTGTGCGCACAGACAGCAATTACCTGCAGTTACAGACAGATAATCGTGGCTGGAGACCATCTATCTGCATCCAGTCACAATCATGTGTCCCCAACTGCAGGTATTCATTCGCTGGCTGTACAAACAATCACAGATAGCCTCAGCCACAGTCAGATGGATCAGATCTGCGGATTGGGGAGGATAATGGATCGGACTCCGATCCATTATGCTCAATCCGCAGATCCGATCCATCCTGCGGGGATCGTCGGAGGAGGTGTCACCAAGTGTTACTGCACTGGGTGATACCAACCCTAGGGACGCCCCTGTGTCTCAGAACCCACCAGGTCCCCATGCCGCGTGTGTCCCTTCTTCCAAGGGGCAGTGCTGCCCCCCCCTGAAAAATGCTGCCCTAGGCAAATGCCTTGTTTGCCTTGTGGTAAATACACCCCTGCTCATGACTAATCAGCAGATCACACAGGACAGTGTACACAAGAACCTGATCTACACACCTGGGACCTGGTAAACTGCAGTGTCAAACAAGTCCAGATTACTAGCATCATAAATAGAACCTTTAATTTCATCATTTTACTTCTACTTAAATAAGAAAGAGGCACAAAACATCAGACGGCCTGATTTATAAGTTAATGCAAAGGGAACATGTGCAATGGTGTAAATGGAATCCCTCAATATGGCCAGGGCACAATAGGGGCACAGATAACCAATAACAAACAAAAAATTAAGTCTGGAAGGCTGCTGACCTAGAACCTTAAAGCTGTTAAGTGCAAAATGACCCTTGCAGTGAGCCCCCCTCCACATCACAAGGGTGCAGAGCTTGTTCTGTCTAGGGGTAGTGAAATATGCTTTCCTTATTCCTCACTCCTGTAGGCATTCTGATGTCAATCACAGACAATGCAGGAGCAGCAGTGGTACCTGCATGGTACATGATGACATTGAGGACCTGTCCACAGTGGAGGAGAGTGATGGCGTAAGCTCCTCTGGTACAGACGTGACTGGCTCAGTGATCTCTGTACAGCACCTCGGTATATGTCAGAGATATATAACATGACGGATCTCCTAGATTGTAAGCTCCAAGGATCAGGGCCCTCCTATCCCTCTTGTATTGAACTGTATTGTTGCTGTATTGTCTCCCGTTATATTGTAAAGCGCTGAGCAAACTGTTGGCACTATATAAATCCTGTATAATAATAATGGCTGCCATGGGAGTGAGGAATAAGGTAAGTATAGCAGCTTAGACAATTCAAGCATTTAACACTTGCGGTGCAACTCAGTAACACTGGGCTTGGTAAAACCACAACTTGGCATTACTGTGCTCCGTACCGGGCCACTGCAACTTTCACACAGGGGCATGGAACCTTTAAAAGTCAAGGTTCAGTGTCACTGAGCACAGCATTGCCAACCACTGCTCCTGCCAACAGACTCAGTAGGTCCCCAAGAAACTGCTCAGTGACCCTAAGGCCCAGTTCACACTACATGCGCTTCAGTTGCTTTTTTCTGCATCCAAAATGCACAGAAAATAGGTTATATTGTTGTCTATGTCATAGTTCACATCAGTGCTTGCAGTTCCAGTGCGTTCCAGTTGCAGAAAAAAAGTAGAACAGGCTGCACAGAATTGTACTGGAATGTGGTAAAACGCATAAAAACCACACTGGAATGCACATGTCCCTATTTAAATTGAAGAAAAAGAAAGGGTAAAAAAAGAACTGGAATGCATTAAAAACGCTCTGGAACACATCAAAAACCCATCAAAACCGCACCGGAATGCGTCAAAATTGCGCATGCAAAAATGCACCTGGAACGCATCTGCACTGTGTTTCTATAGTGTGAACCGACCCTAAGGCTCTGTTTCTCTGAGCTGACTGTGTGTGTGGTAGTGGCAGCTGTGTGCATGCAAATATGTAATCATTTCAAAAACATTAAGCCTGGGTTCACACTTGTGTGGTGCGGGACGCCGCATGTGATTCGCACAGGAATCGTACCGCAAATCAAACGCAATGTCTGTACAGTGTGACTTGAGACATTCATTTTGTATGGCTCACATTGCACTGCATCCGCACCAGAATGGTGCAAGACCCTTTTTTGCTACAACTGAATCGGTGTGAACACCCATGCGATCCAATTCTGGCAATCGCACTACATTTTGCAAGCTGTTTCAGGGTGTCATTATTTTAACATTGACACCTGCAGCAGATCGTGTGAACACCATGCATTTCAATGACTGGACTGATCCTCATGTGAACTGTCAGCTTTTCGTCATCTTGCTGCCGTGCAACAGCTTCCAGTGTCATACAGATGCTGCAGCATGGAGGTGAGTATCTATGTTTGTTTCTTTATTAACCCCATAATTCTTTTTTAAGCTTTAAGGAGATACACTAATCATATACTATATATTCTCACATGCACACTAACCATATGTAATGTAGATCGGGGCTTTAGATGAAGTTGCATTCACTTACCAGAATTCTCCATCATCACATCGCTTAATCAGCCTGTCCTTCTTACTAGGATCCACAGAATTCCATTCACTGGAGCTGGAGGAAAGGAAGCAAAATCAGCATTTAGTAATAGTCACTTTAATAGGATTAAAGTATTCAACTGAGCGCAAGACCTTGGTCACCCGAGCAGAGATAGCTTCTGACCTTCAAAGAATCAGAGCTATGATGGCCATAAATGGCTCCCACCCAGGGGCGGACTGACCATTTGGAAACACGGGCACTGCCCGAGGGCCCGAGGTCAGTAGGGGGCCCCATGAGATGCCCCTGGTACCTTTTTCATAGCCTTTTTTGAGTTTGGGCAAGGACACAGGGGTCCTGTGATCCACTATTGCCCGGGGGCCCCATGAGTTGTCAGTCCACCCCTGCTCCCACCCCCTAACATCCCAATTTGTTGTTCAGGCAAGAATGGGGCCACGAACCATGGGTACCCTGTATGCTTCAGGTATGTTGAACAAACAATGCTGCTATGGTGGGTAGACATTTTATTCTCTGTCTATACATGACCAGGCTAAATGTACCTGTAATGTTTCTCTGCCCACAACCACTCTATCAAAATCCTACCACTTCCAAGTATCGTAAAGCATGGTCCTTGCCCCCTGCTTCCCCATAACGCACTGCTCAACGTCTGATCATGCAACCATTAGGCTCCATTATCTTTAAATGGTGGGAAAGGATGTACCGTACTTTAGAGATAGAAATTAGCAATGATACTTAGTAATTAATGGTATTGTCAGAGAATGCAGTGAGGATTGGTGAAGTGCATGCCTAGCATGTGTTGAGGGTTAGGCTTGAGTTTTAATTTATGTGACAGGTGTACTTGAAAACTACATCAAACTATAAAACCCATGTTTCCCTTAGCAATGGATCATAGTAAAGGTTAATAAGACTGTATCCATGATAACACGTGACAGCATGTGATAGCACTGACTGGCTGCTTAGGCACCAAGCGCTCTTTGAAAGAGATAACGTCATATGTCCCCCATACTCAAAAGTACTGCATATTTCTGTCTGCAGGGCTCAATGGATATGGATGAGTGCAGAGAAGGTATAGGTTGGTGACATTATTTAGATGTAAAGTCAGGTGCTGTATCTTCAATGTGCATTAGGTTAAGGTGGCCTCTGTTATTCTCTTAGCAATGGCCCACTTTAGTAATAGTGTCCATATGTTTCTGCTCACTTGTCACTCCAAGCACCCGTCCACTCCACTTCTCCCCATGGATTGCGGATTCTGATGAGTTTTTCCATACGTCCTCTGTAATCCACCTGTTAAATTGAAAGGGCTTAAAAAACTCATAAAGCAAGAAGCCTACCTACGGAAAGGTGGGTATCTCCAAGAGAATAATGGGCAGAGGGGTGTATTTGCCTGACTTGAAGCAAGTTGCTGGGGCTAGTATACTCCCTTAGGGGGGAAGCAAATACTATAGTGTTCAAGTGATGCTTAAACCTGGAACATTGCTTGTAATTATTGGTCCAGTTATGGCTACCCTAAACCAAGGAAGAATGTTATGTAAAAGCTAACCTGAATCAGTGTTAATAATAAAAGCCCAAACTAACACACTCTTCAATTGACATAAATGTTTTATAAAGACGAGAAATATCACCTTCTATAATATCCCAAATCTGGCACCTCCATTGACCAATGTGTAGGCAGATGCAATCTGTATTCTCCACTAAAAGTGGCGCTGGACAGAGGGGAGCGGAAGAGGAGGGAAACTGAGTTTCTCTATGACTTCCTCGGTTAGCAGGGACAGTGATCCAATTGGACACTCTTGTCCCATGTGATTCTGGCAGCCTCCTTGGGTCAGGCAGCGTCTATTTATGTCTGTTTAATACTGACCCCAGGTTTTGGCATGCTTTATGCGAGTATATAGTGTAGGGACAGATTCCCGATTTGTCAGGAACAGTACTAGGGAAAAGTTCCAGTGGAGTAGAGAGAGAGCAGGGTCTACGTCTACCACCTCAGGAAACTTCCCCTTTGGGCTGGACTGGTCAGGCCACACTCCTGGCAGACATTGTCTGCAACTCTGAGTCTACACACTGTTGTCTCTACACTGCACTGTTGTACGTGATCCTGGTTAGGTAAGCCTCCCTGCCGGGCCTGCTTGTACTGTTGAACTACTATTCAAATCGGGACTCTGTGTGCTTTGTGCCAGCCACACCACACTGCACCTACCCAACAAACGTCCAGCAGACATTATTCTCCCAAGAGCCTTGGGCATAGACACTAGTCAACAGACCAGGCAGGGAAGGAATGGGGGAATTTAAATATTTATTAAAAAAAGACAAATTTTTATAGCATATTAACTACATTGGTGAAATGTTTTGTCATTTTGGGTCTTTATATGCCATTTCTGGAAATGCCCTGGAAAAGAAAATATTGTAAAAACTCTAGATTTCAAATCATATAAAATGTTTGTATTGCCTGATAGTGGTCAACAGGTTTCCAACTTCCACCTGAAATTTTGACTGGATGCTTTGAAATGGCAGTGAGGGAGCCTCATCTACCTGTTTGCTCCCTTGTTCATCCCCTTGTTTCCAGTACATGAGAGTTACAGGAACAAAGGATGATACAGATAATTCTCACAGGCACATCAATCCATAAGACCAAAAGATTTTGAACCCTTTGATAAAAGGGGCTTTACATATTTCTCTGATAGTACCCACCTCTTCTGCGGCAGTGACGGAGTAGGCATGACCCTTCACCAGTTTCTGAAAGGTGATCGCCTCGGTTTCAGCGGCACTTGTGATCTGTGAAAGAAAAGGTAACAAAGGTTCTTCCACATGGCTGCACAGAGACAAAGCTCTCATGGAATATTAAACAAAGAAAAGAACAATAAGAATGTTTGCTCTTTACTTTTTATATCTCCCTATGTAGGGTCATGGAACCTACACTCAACATAGTTGCTTTCATCTTTTGAAGTTGCAAAGAAAAACTAATAAAGATTTCTTTTTTGCTAAACTCAAACAAAAAGTCAATTTCTTTTATTCGAGGACTGAGTGCAGAAAAATCCTAAAGCCCAACTGAACTTTTGGTTTCAATCAGCTAAATACATTCCAGGTGCATTGAAAAAAAAAAAGAGAAATGTCTTACAGTCGTGTTGAAAGGCCAGCGAGCTGTAGAGAAGGACCCTTGTTCTGTGGAAGCAGTGGTCTCTTTGTGGAGGTCTTCCATCCTCTGAACCCCCCACCATAACCCCACAGCGGTAATCTCCTGGTGCTGTGGGCTTAAGGTGAGCCTGTCATAATCGCTTACTGCCAACTATGCCCACCCTTTCCGCCCCCCCCTCCTTTATTCATAGAAGCTATTTTCTATAGCTTCCATCAGTGAAACAGACCTTTCATTCATCGGTCCTTCCTCCATTCTTAGATTCCTAAAGTGCTTTTCACTGATGAAAGTTATAGTACAGCTTCTATGAATAGAGGAGGGGGAGGAAAGTGTAGGCATAGTCACACTCTTGACAAATGCTCTGATAGGTGCAATAGCTTGTAATACCGTTGGGGAGGGTTTAGGGGGGCAGAGGACCATCAGGACAGCAGCAACCAGCGCAAGAGACCATTCTCATTAGATATAATTACTGTAAACCAGATTCCCAGTACCAGAAAACCAGTGCAGACCTATTCTGATGCACACATGCTCATATTTCTGAGCAAAGAAGTCATGTTAAACATACTGTTCCTGTTCGCCATGCTCATGTTTGTGCACAAGCGTGCATACAAGTGCACATGCTCATACCAATTAGCATGTACATTTGGTGTCCAGTGGCCTATTTAAACTGGTTTGTCACTATGAGAATTTGCTGAATGGTCTTCAGCTTGTTCCCATGTTCCTGAGACCTGATTTGTTGTACCTGCTTATCTGTGTATGACCTGGCTTGCCCTTGGACAACTCTATTCACTTGATTACTCTGACCCCGGCCTGTTTACTGTACTTGTCTTTGCCTGCTGATTTTGTAGCTTTGCCTGGCTGTTACTGACCTTGGCCTGCCTCCTGGACCTGTTCTTCCTGACGATTTGGTCCCTCTCTGCCCGTTGTTGCTGACCACTGCCTGTCTCCTGGTCCTCCTTTGATCTTCTGCTCTGGTGCCAAGCTGCTCCTGCATCCTGTTCCGAGGACTGCGACTACCACCTCCCACTTACAGAGGGGACCTCACCTGCCAGCTACTCCGGCACTCGTGCCACTTCTTGCCCTTACACTCTCTGTCTCCACCTTCGGGAGTGTTGGGCAGGAGGTGAAAGAGGATGCTCCTTAACATGACTAGTGCACCCGAGATAGGTTCATCCAGACCCCACTACACCACCACTACCCTTCCATACCAATCCCCTTTACTTACTATACTTACAGAAAACACAACACCAATTTTGGAGTAAAATGGCCAACACCATTCCTTATAACAGAAAACATAAAGAGTTGTCGTTGGTCTTTGAAGGCACCCCCAAAACGATCTGAAATGCACCTGCGGACAACCATATTCCACTAGGCCTCCAGCCACAACCAACCAGCTCGGAGACAACCATACCGTCCGCAGTGCAGCACCACCACCTTCCAGTTAAACCTTGGTTAACTGGAATGTTCCCGGGCACACCATACCAACGATGGGTCCCACACCATTTTGTACCTCCAAGATAAGAACCGCCTCCAAAGACCAACCACCGCCCAGGAACCGAAATAACCCCCCCCAGGAGGAACACAACACTCACCAAACAGGGAGGGCGGGAGGGAAGCTCTTTCTCCCACGTCCAGCTCCCAACTGACGCCCCTTCCCCAGTACACCCCACCCTAAAGTGCAGAAGACCCCACCTACACTCTCCTCTACCAACCAGATCCCCCAGCTATCCTTTACCAACCCTAATACTATCATTAACCCCTTACACGTCTTCCTTCTCTGGGCCTCTGGGCCTAGTCCACTCTGGGCCTAGTCATGCCTGCCCTGCGCTAATTCTTTTCTTCTTTTATCGTTGCGAGCATTTCTTTCCAGTCTTCTCCAGGTATGTGATAACACTCTCACAACACACCAATAGCCTGCAGAGTGTGTACAAATAGGGCTTCACTTGAATGGAGAAATCTACCTATGAATAAGTGGGGGGTGCGTTGGACTTCTGTAGAGGGACCACTGCTTCCACACAAAAAGCAATTGTCTTTCTCTGTAGTTGTAACCCAACAAGTGTCCTTATTGGAAAATTATCCTCTATTCCTGTTCTGCTAATAACTCAAAATTTGGATTTGGCATCACTTTCAACTCCAGTGACAACAGCCATCAGAAGTTATTTAACTGGCTGAATTGAAAATCCTCTTTTTAAACCAGAGAGCAAAAATGTAACCACAGTTTGCCGCCTTTTAGATGAGATTGCTGCATTACTTTTTTCAAGCTTTTGTTCCCTTTCAACTGGTGATTCTGATAATAACATCCTTCTTGTCCTAGGGTGACAACGCTCACTGTACTGTATCTATGGAGGTACATCTTTGTCACCCCAGGACTGGACTACAAACACTCTCCTCTGTAGTCCACAGATCGAGCTGGGAACAATGTAACAGTCAGTATGGTGAGATATCATCTTTTTAGAATTATTAGAACGTATTTTTCCACTTATTATACAGATATAACAAAACGCTTTCAATAGTATATTTAACAGCACAAAAGCAGCAAATAGAAATTCATCATTAGAGCTTTTGTTAGCGTTTTTTAGTAGTGGTTTGAAGAACCTCACTTACATCTATAGAGCAGCCCAGGAGAGAACCTGTCTTCAGAGCCTTCTGTATGATCTTGTATAGGTCATTCGGAGCTTTTTTCAGATCGTACCACTCGGCAAGACCTCCGGTGAAGTCTTCAAAACCCTCTGTGGTGGCCCCGCCAGAGAGAGCTTCATAGGACCCATTCAGCCTGTGTTTGAGGACAACAAGTTCTAAAATGCATCTGGATTTCATAGTATGGCCTCTAATCTGACTTGACTTGTCTATCTTCCGCTAGAATTGGCCCCTGAAATGTCCGGTACATGTCTACTTGCAACAACAAAGTAAAAAAAATCTTGCTTCATACGGACATATAAAAAAAGCTATATATATATATATATATATATATATATATATATATATATATATATATATGTGCTCTTCGTTTACGGATCTGCATTGTTTTCAATGGAGCCATTCACACAGGTACAGAAACATGAGATGCATTCAGAACTGTAACACAAAACTGAGCATGCGCAGCTTGTCCCTTGCCTCTGTTCTATCAGGAGATATTTGGAAGACACTGGAAGAAGGGGAGGATCAGAGAAGAGAGGATCAAACATTCTTTGTACACAATGTGGAGGATTAACCCCTTAGGTTCTACAGTGAGTATAACAAGCATGCTTTACTGCATATACAGACTGATTTTACTGTTGTGGGTTTAGTAACACTTTTACTTCTATTTAACTCTATGCATGGAAGAACTTTACAGTGTGGTATATCGCGTTGGAATGTGTTGCAGAAATCTGGAACATGTGATTCAGCATACACCAACACAGTGCATTGGTAGGACATAAGACAAATAGCCTTGTCCATACATTAGGACTACATTGGGCAACAGGCTTGTGTGAATGAGCCCATAGGGTATGCGTTGCCCATCACTTACTTTGCATAGGCTTTCTCCAGCAGGGCACTCCAAAATTCAGTCCCTTCGGCTGAGTGAACAAAGACGAGCTCCCCTTTCTTGGTTGGAAGTCTGTCATCAATAACCACATCCACCCATTCTCCAAACTGCCAGAACTAGACGAGAAAAAAAATAGGACACATTTTAAAAAATGTTATATACTAAAGGTGGCAGCATTCAACTTTTTTCTACTTCATGCTAAAACTAAAATGATCTATGAAGGTTGCTCTCCATATTGTGTTGATATAATACCAGGATTTTGTTTCTATATAGCACATGCCTTCAATAAATAATTTGAAAGCATGGACAGAAAGAAAACGGGAAGGGGAAGAGGAAGAGGAGGTGAGAGGCTGTCATATTTTCTGGTGTTAATTGAAAGGTTTTCTAGCATCCCTTTAGATCACGGGTGTCAAACTGGCGGCCCTCCAGCTGTTGCCAAACTACAAGTCCCATGAGGCACTGCAAAATTGACAGTTACAAGCATTACTCTCAAAGGTAGAGGCATGATGGGACTTGTACAGCTGCGGACTGACAACTCATGGGGCCCCCGGGCAATAGGGGATCATGGGGCCCCTGTGTCCTTGCCCCAACTCAAAAAAGCCTATGAAAAAGGTACCAGGAGCATCTCATGGGGCCCCCTACTGACCCCGGGCCCTCGGGCAGTGCCCGAGTTTCCAAATGGTCAGTCCGCCCCTGGACTTGTAGTATCTCAGCAGCTGGAGGGCCGCCCAGTTTGACACCCCTGCGTTACATGTATATGTGCCTGCTGATCCATGCATGCAGGGGATGTGTTCATTCCCTTAACTCTGCATATAGAAAACCATGGGGCTATCTGCAAATTTATCCGGAATAGAAGGGCATTAGAATGCTGCTACTCTTGATAATCCAAATATACTCTCAAAAGAAATAAAGTAAGTAAAATCCCTGTTTGAAAATTAGCTTGAATTGCCTGAAGAAATAAATACATGTTTATTGTGTTTAATATTTAAATCAGTCATCTTTAAATCATTCTAATCAGAGACTAGAAATTTGAGTTGTTACAGAACTAAAAACATGCGAACTGCCAACACTAAGACCAAGGCTGGAAAATATAGCTCCTTAGGTTACTAAAAGAATTAACATCCCTCACACTCATCTTCTGAGACAAGCAAATCAAATGTCAGTTGTCAAAATGCTAAAGGGTCTTTATAAAAAATCTGCAGTGTGAATGCATCAGCATTTGCACAGCCATAAGAAGTAATCCCCATAATGTGTCTAATGTGTGTATTGCCTATGACCATCAAGTCCACTTAGTGGCCATAATGCGGTACTTTCCTTAAATATTACAATCAGGAAAATACCACATTATGGTCAATAGATGGAGCTGGTGTTTCAAAGAAATACACATAATAGAAACATTGCGGGAATTGTTCTCAATGGTTGTGTGAATGCTGAGGAATTCGCAAGACACATTTTTATAAATAGACCTCTAAGTGTATGGCAGGCTTCAAATAATAGTTCTTGTGTAAGTACTGTAGACAGAGAAAGGATGAAGAAAGTGTTTTTTTTTTCTGGTGAAAGAGAGACAGTTCTTGTTTCAGATGCTATATACGTGTTTTCTTATAAACCAGTTTTGTAGTTTACAATTTTCTCTTTCCAAAGCGTCAATATTTGAAATACTAAACAACTGCATATTTTTCACTATTCTACATGTGGTGAATAAATTAGCACATTTGCATATTTTGAACAGTTCATTGAAGAAAATGCTGAATATTTAATCTGCTCGGGCTTTATAAATGACATTGTGATCTCTTTGTCTTTGTTTGTGTTGTCAAACAGGGGCGGACTGACAACTCATGGGGCCCCTGGGCAATAAGGGATCATGGGGCCCCTGTGTCCTTGCTCAAACTCAAAAAAGCCTATGAAAAAGGTACCAGGGGCATCTCAGGGGGCCCCCTACTGACCCTGGGCCCTGGGGCAGTGCCCGAGTTTCCAAATGGTCAGTCCGCCCCTGTTGCCAAACATTCTGCAGGTTATGGCTTCATTCACATGCATGGTGGCTCCTGTATTGTAGGAATAAGGCATTTGTTTTTGGACCTGCATCCACCCCAAGCTGTATACAGGCAGTCTGTGGAAGTGAATGCAGATGCAGCAGCTGCACAGACAGAGTCGCATGTCATAATTTTACAGCCGTGCAGGAAAGGGTCGGCAGCTTCGAATGCACACGGATCCCGAACACTCATATATTTGAACCAGATCTATTAAAAACAATAGGATTCCAAGTACCATGCATTTTAAGGCATGCACAGAGCTTGCAGGTCCGAAAAGAGTGCTCACACTAAGTTCACACTGATGCGGTGCGGAATTTGCAGCGTTTTCAGTGCAAATTGCGCACCGCATCAGAATCGCACCACATTCATGCGAACCGCTGCGGGTGTGTATGTTAAGTTAAAGTTAAGAACACCCCGAAATTGGTCCGCAAAACACGGTGCGATGTGCAGAATCAGAACGCATAGGTTTGAATACCTATGCGATCCAATTCTAGTGCGGACCAAAAAAAAGGGCCCTGCATGTTTTTGGTGCGGGTGCGGTGTGATTAGAGCCATACAAAATGTATGGCTCCAATCGCACCGCACACAAATCGCATGTAATTTGCACAGGAATGCGGTGCGGTTCCTGTGTGATTCACATGCGATTTACCGCACTGCATATATGTGAACCTGGGCTTATTGCTGCATTACATTAAATCATTGATGCCACAATAATAAACAAACTTGTGTTACATGTAGTGAACATAATAGCAAACTCCTATCATAATAAAACTCAATGATATGTGTCCAATATGCAAAGGAAATTTTTCCAATCAAAAATCCCATATGTAAGTGAAAGGGTTCCACCACCCCTATGATACTGCAAATCAAGAGCATAGTTTATGAATTCACAGGAAGTGATAAAACGAGCTTAATGACGTCATCATGCCACCAGGATGGAGCGATCTGGATACTGGAGTTTGGTAATGCTGTGATCTTTCCCTTAAAGAAACATGTACCTACATATGTAATTATTTGTTTTTAAGGTGGCTTAGTGCACTAACATTGGGAGTGTATTTTAATAAATGTTTAATGGTTTTTTAAGTGGTAAAATGCTATGTCATTCCTTTTGAGTGGCATTGATGGTGAAGAGTTTGCTTGGCTTATTTCATACATATTGGGATCCCTGGAAAAAAATTTGGAGGAAGGATCTGGAAACTTCGGGGTGGGTAGTGGGGAATGTCATGGTGATCTTTATAAGGTTCGAATGTCAAGGTAAGTGTGGAGAGTGACTGGTGGTGGGTGGTACTGATGAGGGATCCCATTGGTGATCATGGAACAACTTGTATTTTTGATCAGGACACTGTTTGGAATTCATGAACTGTGCATTTGATTTGCAGTATCACGGTGGTGGTGGAACCCTTTCCCTTACACATATATTATGACAGGATATTTCTATTATGTTCATTCCATGTAACACAATTTTGTTTATTATTGTGGCATCAATGATTGAATGCAGCGCAGCTCTCTATAAATTATTTGTGAGAACACGTGTTAGTGCTTTGCAGCAACGCTTAGTGAATTGGGAGACATGTTTTGGGGGTTGTTAGGAAGAATTGTGATATATTGAAGACTGCAGAGATTTTCATTTTTATTTTAACATTTCCTGCTGCCCATTTCAACATATCAGAATGCTTTCCTTTATTTCCAACTCCACACTGCAGAAATGATAGCTGGAAGTCGATTGGTCACTACAGACAAGATCAGGGGCGGACTGACAACTCATGGGGCCCCCGGGCAATAGGGGATCATGGGGCCCCTGTGTCCTTGCCCAAACTCAAAAAAGCCTATGAAAAAGGTACCGGGGCATCTCATGGGGCCCCCTACTGACCCCGGGCCCTTGGGCTGTGCCAAATGGTCAGTCTGCCCCAGGACAAGATATTTTCATGTTAGCACACATCATGCATTAGGCTCCATGTACACGGGACGTTTGGAAAACACTTCTGAACGATGGAAAGTGACTGCTGGAAAATGTAGGTTAAAAAACGTCTATTTAGCCGCGTTTGCATACCGCGTTTATGTGCGTTTAGAAGTGTTTTTTAAAGATAACTTCTGGAGACCTTCCAAAATGCCCAGAATGCACTGAAAAACAGTAAAAAATTAACTATTTCAGACATTGGGAGAGAAATAGAGAGAGCAGAAGCAGAGAGAGCAGTATTTGTGGAGATGGAGATGACCTGTCCTTTCTGGTTGTATTCACTATGGATCCCATCATGAGCATAATGCGGCACGTTCTACCATTTTTTCCTTCACTCAAAACCTGGAACTGACTGCGCTGGTGTACCGGGTCCATTTGAACACATGGAAAACGCTTTGCATGCATTTCTGATGATGAAAAAAGGCTCTGGACAGCATCTGGATATGGGACAGTTAAACAACGCTTATAAACGCAAAACGCTTATAAACGCAGTTAGCTGCGTTTACATGCGTTTGCGTGTTTGGCATTTGAAACGCTGATAAAATCTACTCCTAAATGCAAGGTTGGTGCGTTAAAAAAAACTGTAAACTCAACTGCCTGTAGACGGCATAGTGTACATGGACACATAGGAAAGCATTAGGGTGAGTTCAGGGGCTGCGGAAAAAATGCAGAAAAGCTCCTAATGTGAGTTTATCAGCTGCAGTGTACATGGAGCCTTAGTCTCATAAGAGTCTACTAGTACAAATCACGAGGGCTCTGACATCTCCAGATTTTCTTCCCTGGATTACCTGGAAGTGGAAGATCCCCGCATAGTTCTCCTGGAAGCTCTGATCTTTTGGGACCACCCTGGAGAGGACCTGCTCATTGAGAGTGAGGGAGGCAATGGCAGCCAGCAGCCAGCAATCACCTGGAAAGAACACAAAAGAGATCTTGAATTAGAAAACTCCACCAACATTATTCAATAAAGTTGTGAATTGTAAGCGCTAATTCCTAAAGCCCGACGCCCCAACTTCGTTTATAGCGCCCCCAGGAGGTGTTAAACAAAAAAAAAGTTCTGGCTGCAATATTCCCCTCCTCTCTGGCTTTGTCTCCCCCAATAATCCCATTTTATCAGCAAGCATCATTCAACCCAGAAGACCTAGGAGAGGCCTTCCTGTGAGCGCAAGGCACCTTTCATCTGCCCCCTGACAGGGTGTCACCACATCTCTAAATACAAGCAGTGTAAGTACCTAAATTTGCCCTGGTATCAGCCTGTTAAAGTCCCTGTACAGCAGAGCTTACAAAGCGGGAGGGAAAAGCAGCACAATGACCTATCCGGGTGTGCTGCAGTGCAAGGAGCATACTGACAAGAGGAGAGAGAAGAGTGAGAGATGAACACACCAATCTGCTGCTACTACTTCCACGTCCAGTCAAAGGGTGGAAGTGGGGACACATAAGGGAAAGTGAAACTGCAGCAGAGAAAGACCAGGCCTACCCTCCACCAGACAGGACTCTGCTGTGTGGCAGAGCTGTGTAAATTTCAGGACTGGATGGAAATCCCGGCACAGTGACAGCTGCCCCCGGTGTAGCGGTAAAATCAGTATCCCGACCCGTGCAGATATGTATCCCCTGAAGCAACTGCGCATGTGCTGGTTTCAGGCTGAAGAAGCCCATCTCTGACTTTAGCACAGAGCTGCCACAGTTAATCCCTTGCAGGCTGCAAACCGCTGAAGCTGATCCAGCAGATCACCATGGGTTGCAAGATCAGTTAACCCCGTATAGGTTCAACCTATAAGGGGTTATCTGATCTTGCAACCAATAGTGATCCGCGGGATCAGCTTTCGAATACTTTAGCTCTGTGCTAAAGTCGGAGATCGTCTTCTTCAGCCTGAAACCGGCACATGCGCAGTTGCTTCAGGGGATACACATCTTCACGGGTCGGGATACTCATTTTACCGCTATACTGGCACCGCTCCTTCCTCTCTGGAGAGGTGACACCGCATGTTACCGCACCTGGTGACACCAACCCCAGGGACACCTCTGCCTAGGAATGCCCACTCTTCCAGACTGACAGCCACCCATCGAGGCATTTCAATATTTTCATAACTCCTCTCAAGATCCTGTCTACTGCACAGGCGGTATTCGCCCTGGTTCACACTGTACGGGCCGGTTGTGGGTGCAGGAACCGCATCTATTCCCGCAACCACCCACAGCCACCTGCTGCTCTTACAAATTGCGCTGCTCTTACGAGATGTGCGTGGCTGACATTCATTTGCATCTCAGCCCAAAAGGACCATGTGATTTCCCTGCGAACGCGGTTGTGGAAAACACAGGCACTGCAGCCCATTCAAATGAATGGGCTGCCATGCCTGAGCAATCATGGGCTGCAAGGCCTGCACAAGTGTGAACCAGGGCCTAAACCCAAAAACAAAATTGCAATACATTGCAGCTTACCAATCAATAGATGTGGTGACTGCGTCAGTTTTCTTTTTGTTAAGGCTTTTTTCCCCTTTATTTTTACATTTTGCTTTAAGGATACTTAGGCAGGATGCTGTGATGTTTTCAGAAATGGCGCCCAGCTTGTCCCTCCCACCTGTCATGATTTGCCTGAATTGCATAGAGGTGCGCAGAGACCCAGTGATGATGTCACTGGGTCAATAAATAAGGTGTATAATGAAAATAGAAAGGGTTTAAATATATGATGCACATTTTGGTGGGGGGAGGGGCAGTGCTAAAGAGGAACCAGGTCAGGCAAATACAAGCAGAATAAAGTTAAGCTTTTATTTGATTTTATTGAAAACTGCTGAAAGGACTCTTTTATCACCCGCACATTCAAACCAGCAGTAAGCTTAGGTCTGCAGTAAACATTATAAATATCTGTATTCTCAGGCAGCAAAGTCGTGTGATTTGTGGTGAAATGATTGTATGAAAGGGAGCTCTGTGGCTCTTCCTGAATATTCAAATACATGCTGGCCTGATGGAAAATCCCCAACCGTCTGCAGTCACAGAGAGGAGGAAAATCCAGCTATGGAATGGAGGCTTGTCGGTTATCTGTGTTTTTTAACATATAATAAAATTCTTTTTTTTATTGTTCTAGCACAGAATTAAGAATGGAGCAAGCATCAGAGTGGATGCCAGGAACATGAATTTTATATATGTTCTCAGGACCAGTTCACAAATCATGTGTTTTTGCATGTGTTTAATGTGTTTTTGATGCGTTCTGGTGCGTTTTTAAAACTTTTTTTTCTTTTATCTCAATCCAGGACATGTGCATTCTGGTGTGTTTCTGGTGCATTTCCATGCGTTCTGGTGAGTTTTCCATGCATTCTGCTGCATTCCAGACAAAAACAATGCAATATGTTCTACTTTTGTTGACTGCACTGGAACGCACTGCACTGGTGTGAACTAGGACCATTGGAATACATTGAAAACACTGTTCTGCATTTTTGGTGCAGATTAAAAACACACTGGACTGCATCTGATGTGAACCATCCCCAAATCCTTACAGTTGATGGTGGAGAAAAGGTGGGTTTGCACACAGATACCAAATATTTCCTTTCATTCTCCAAATTTCATTATAAAAGGGACGTGGAACTGGCTGCTGTAATACCAGAAAGAATACACAGAAGCCTCTAAAACAGTAGTCTCCAAACTGTGGCCCTTTGATTGCCTTTATCTGGCCCTTGGGGCACTATTTCTCCCACTGATATGAGGCACCATTCTTTCCACAAACCCCAACATTGGGACATAATTCCTCCCACTGATATAAACTACAGAACACTATTACTTCCACTAACACTAAAGATTATGTACTTTTCCTCCCACTGGTACCATCATTGGGGTACTGATCCTGCGACTGACATCAAAAAGGGGGCATAATTCCATCAACTGATATAAAATATAGAGCACTATTACTCCCGCTAACACTAAAGATGGGGCACTTTTCCTCCCACTGATACTATCGATGGTGCACTACTCCTGCCACTGACACCAATGCTGGAGCACCAGTCTCTCCCTGACACCAATGCTGGAGCACCAGTCCTTCCCTGACACCAATGTTGGGGCAACGGCCCTTCCCTGACACCAATGTTGGGGCACCGGTTCTTCCACTGACACCAATGTTGGGGCACCGGTCCTTCCACTGACACCAGTACTGGGGCAAATTTTCTTTCATTGATACCAGTGTTGGGGAACCATTCCTTCCTCTGACACCAATGTTGGGGCACCAGTCCTTCCCTGACACCAATGTTGGGGCACCGGTCCTTCCACTGACACCAGTACTGGGGCAAATTTTCTTTCATTGATACCAGTGTTGGGGAACCATTCCTTCCTCTGACACCAATGTTGGGGCACTATTCCTCTCACTGATACCAATAATAGGGCACTATTCCTTCTACTGACACCAATGATTGGACACACTTTTTGCTGCATTTTCCACTTCCACCTTTTTACAGTCCGGTCCCCCTAAAGTCAGAAGACCAGAAAACTGGCCCTTTGTTCAGAAAGTTTGGAGACCCCTGCTCTAGAACAATTTAAAGTTCTGTGTACCCTGTCAGTAGCACCTACTCCTGATGAAGTGAATCAATATTCACGAAACGTGTTGAGATGTGTGATGCGCTTTATTTTGGCCCCAGACCATAATTTTGTGGAACGTGAATAAGATATGAAACCCCAACTACAATCACAGTAAACCAGCTTGTTTTTATAGAGTTTTAAAGGATAAGTTCACCTTTTTAAACAAAAATAACAAATGCATATTTTTTTGCAGATAAAAAATACGCATTTAATATTTTTGTCCAAAGGATCCTGGAAAGCATTGCACCAGTGATCAGTAGATCGCTGATGGCATTCAGGTCTCCTGCAGATCTGTCAGAGTATCTGTAGCTGTAGGGGATGTACGGTCAAGCAGATATTCTGACAGGAAGCTTTGAAACTATCATGGTGCTCCGCAGCGTTGTGGTAGTTCACTGAAAACTACATGCCACTAAAACTGCCAGGACGTGCAGTTCATTCATTCCTGGAAGTCCGTGAATGAATGACGCAGCCGTGTGGGCGGAGCCCCCCATGGCTGTGCTGTTTTCAAATTTGACAGATAGTACAGGGAAACTTCTCCCCATACTATCTGTCAGACGGAGGGGATTGGTGGGCGTGACTGCAGCTATGGGAACATGTTACATGTTCTACCCTAAAAACGGGTGGAACATTTAACATGTTCCAAAAGTGAATTTATCCTTTAACCACTTCCCGTCCAGCCCATGTATATAAACGGCCGGACAGGAGCAGTGCAGGGTCGGGTGGCTATTTATAAATGGCCTTCCCGCCCCCTTCTTGTGCGCACTCCCTGGGAGCACGCAGCACCACGATCCGGTGCCCGCTATGTTCTCTGGACACAGTGGAACACCGATCGTTGTACGGGACCTCTGTGTGAGGTCCCGATCATGTGATCACTGATTGGCCAATCAGTGATCACATGAAGAGTAGTAAGCAAGATGTCACTTCTGACATCATTGCTTACTACGTGTGAACTCTGTGAATGATCACAGCGGTCAGATGGTACAAGGCTATTCACAACAGCCTTGCACCATGTGACAAGCTGTGACCAATCACAGCTCACACAGCATTTCTCAATGGCTGCAAGAATGCAGCCAGAGAGAAGGAGAAATTATTGCTTTTACAGCCTTTATGGGTGTAAAAGCAATCAGTGTAAAAAAAAAAATCTTCATAACCCCCCACAAGTAGTACAGTGTCACTATGGTGACACTGTACTGCTAGGATGACAGTATGTAAAAAACAAACAAACATAAATAATAATATAAAAAAAATGAGATAAAAATTAGAAAAAGTATAATTTTTGGTTATAAACTAATTTGGGTTATTTTTGTTTTTACTAAAAAGATATCTGAATAACTTTTGGCAAATATTTATAAA